TGTGATGTTAATGAAAATTGTTTGATAGAAATAATACAGAAATTCTAAACTAATAGTAGCTATCCAGCTAGAATCATTAGTGAAAATTCAGAAATCTTTAGAGGAAACATACTAGTATACACATGCACCTTGGTCTAAAACATCTTATCTTTCAGCACAAGTTTTAGTATTCAAAAGCTGAATTTTCAGTTTTGTACTTACCATGCTGTATATCTTTCATATCTAAGTGCAAACTAGACATTAATATTCCAACAGCTTGTGATCTTTTGTTGCTTAATAACTTGACAACCTGTTCATAAAAGAATAAAAGGAAAATGTTACTTTGAACTCCAAAGATACGCATAATTTATTTTTTAAATGCAAATAAAGAACAAATAAAATGAGAATACTTTGTTTCATTATTTGAACAACTAAAAAGAGATTTTTATTGTTAATGAAGCAGTTTTAGATTTTAAATCACAAATTTTCACAATTCTCTTGTGTCCGTAGTTTTCACCATTGTTGTTGTTAGGTGCTGTCCAATTGGTTCCAACACACAGCAATCCTGTTTTGGGTTTCCCAGGAGCAACTGGTGGGATTGAGCCACCAAAATTTTAGTTACCAGTAGAGTACTTATCCTTCAGACGTCCATTGTAAAGAGTCTCAAAGTTAAGTAAGCTCTTTATTAGTCTTTGAATATCCTGATATGTGAGCAAGCAAATTTTCTATTAGTTTATGAAATCAGTGTGGTCTCTGTAAAAAACTACAACTTAAGACTTGGAGAACCCATGGGTACTATGTAGTTTGTCATAGTGTGGTGGCTTGCATATAACTGTAATGCTGGACGCTTTGCTACTTTCCAGTGGTGGACAGGTTTATAAGCAGGGACTAATGGTGGACTGGTTTCAGTATATTTTCAGACTAAGACAGACAAGAAAGCATAACCAGGTGATCTATTTCTAAAATATATTAGCCAGTCAGTACAAGGCCAAAGTTGAACTGTGTAACAGACCACCGATTTCAGATACACAATTCAAGTAAAATCTGCAGAAAGTTAAAATATGTCCACAAAAAGGCAAAGTACAGCCATGAGCATAGCCACTGGAATTTACAGATCATCTGAAGAATGTTGTTGTTTTTGTTGTTAAGTGCTATCGAGTCAGTTCCGACCCACAGTGACCCTAGATAGGGTTTCCAAGGAGTGGCTGGTGAGCTTGAACCGCCAACCTTGCAGTTCAAATGACTTTGCAGTCTGGCACATTAACCCACAGTACCACACCAGCATTTCTAAAGATTAATGGTAATCTAATGCAAAAAGAAAATAGGGATCATGCCACTGCAGGATAAGCAATGGAATGCTAACCATTGGTTGTGTTGTTACATGCTGCCAAATCGGTTCTGACTCATGGCGACAAAGTATAGGATTTCCAAGAAGCCTGGTGAGTCTGAAATGCTGACCTTGTGGGTTCAACTGACCATGTGGTTCTGTGCTTATCCTACAATGTCACACCAGGACTCCAGCCATCATATGAGGGGTGAGTTAATTAAATGTTTGACTAAATACAGCAGACTAGCGTTTAAGTTGATAATATTGTATGGCCCGTGAATGATGTTATACATTTTGGCAGAAAAACAGTTTCCCCACACCTAGGCTAGAGGGTGGCCAAATGTTAACTTGGGTGATGGTGGGGGGGACAAGAAGAGGGAGAATGGCAAAAGAATGATGAAGACAGGTAAAGACACAGGAAGGTATGCAATGACTGAAGGGGATAGAGGTAAATAGTGCTCTATACACAACCTTGAAACAGCAGTATTCTGCCGGTAGATACATGAACAGATACACAGGTTGAATAGGTATGAGAGGAAGAGTGGGAATATATCCACAGATACATAAGCATTTGAAAGAGGATGTTTGTTTATGGATATTTATCTTTTCTGCAAATACACCTATAGTGAGCAAAATGAAGAAAGCATCTTATATTCTATCAAACATCTTAATGCAACGAGTTGCTGGACCTGGGGGCTTAGGACCATAGCCTCAGGGGCCATCATGCTCAACTGGCAAAACATAGTCCCCAAAAACAATATTCTGCATCCTACTTTGGTAAGTATTGTCTGGAATCCTAAAAGCTTATGAGGGGCCAACTGCGGTGCAACTATTTGTGTCTTCATGAATGGAAGAAAGAAGAGTGGTGAGAATTGAAGATGCTTGGAATCAATTATAAAACATGTGAACGTCAGTCTCTATGACTCTGAGACCAGAAAAGCTTAACAGTGCCTGGCTACAACTACTAACTTCTCTGAAAGGGATCACATTACAAGGCCCCAGATAGCATGGGAGAAAATCTGTAATAAAACCCAATCTTAAAAAAATAAACAAATCAAGGACTTACTGGTCAGAAAGAGACTATTGTTCACAACCAGTATGGAAAGGACTGGAAAGGCACTTATCCTTGTGACCCAATTTTCAAGCAAATGGTAGAAAGGTATATAGCTGGACAACACTTGTAAGGTAGGCTTACCACGAATGGTCAACCATTTAAAATCAAAAGGGCAACATTTACTACTTAAGGACAAAGCTGAGAAGGGAAGGTAGGTGGAAAGGAAATAGGAACAACAGAGAGGAAGCAGGAAAGCTGTTGCATGAAGGGGATTACAAATATTGAGATGAAACAATGTGTATGATTTGTTGAACGTAAAACTGGTAATTCATTGAATGTAAACCTTCACTCAAGTCACAATTAAAAGTTTAGAAAAAAAGAAATAAAGGTGATCCAACAGAATGAAATATTATCCAACAATATCATTAATATCACATACAAGCAAAATTTTGCTGGAGCTATTTCAGAAATGGTTGCAGCAGTACATGCACAGTGAATGGTCAGAAACTCAAGCCAGATTCAGAAGCTGACATGGAATAAGGGATATCATTGCTAATGTCAGACAGCTCTTGGCTGAAAGCAGAGAATAGCAGAAAGATGTTTACCTGTGCGTTACTGACTATGGCAGAGGCATTTGACTTTGTGGATCATAACAAAATTTTAAATAACATTGTGAAGAAGGGGAATTCCAAAACACTTAATTGTGTTTATGCAGAACTGGAATATAGACCTGCTATTCAAACAGAACAAAGGGACATTGCATAGTTCAAAATGAAGAAAGGTGTCTGTCAGGGTTGTACCCTTTCACCATACTTATTCAATTAGTATTTTGATCTAATAATCAGACAAGCTGGACTATATAAACAAGAACAGAGCATAAGGATTGGAGGAATACTCTCTGAGTTGCAACATGCAGATAATAACACATAGTTTTCTGAAAAAGGATTTGAAGCACTTACTGATGGAGACCAAAGACTATAGCCTTCAGCATGTATTACCCTTCAACATAAAGAAAACACAAATTCACACAATTGGAACCTGAAGCAACGTAATATTAAATGGAGAAGAGATTGAAGTTGTCAAGGATTTAATTATCTTTGTATATGTAATCAACAACAGAAGTCAGGAGTCTAATCAAGCAACATATTGCATTGGGCAAACCTGCTGCAAAAGACCTCTTTGACGTATCAAAAACTTAAAAAAAAAAAAAAAAAAAAAAAAAGAAGAAGAAGAAGAAAAAGCAATGTTACCATGAGAACTAAGGGGCAGCTGACCCCAGCCAAAGTAATTTCAACTGCCTCAATTATATGGGAACAATACATAAGGAAGACCGAACAAGAATAGATGTCTTTGTATTATGGTTTTGGCAAAGAATATTAAATATACTATGGACTTCCAGAAAAATGAACAAATCTCCTGAGGGGCAAGCAGATGCTCCTGGGCAACAAGGATGCAAAACTTCATCTCACATGCATCTGACATCCTATCAGGAGTGACCAGCCCCTGGAAAAGGACATTGTGCTTGGTAAAGCAGAGTGTTACAGAGACAAGCAGGAGGCTCAGTTAGATAGTTAGACACAGTGGCTACAACACTGGTTCAAACATAGGAAAGATTGGGAGGGTGGTATATGACCTGTTTCCACAGGGTGACAATGAGCTGGAACTGACCCAACAACAATTTGGAAACTTTTTTTTTCATATAGACCCTAGAAGTGAAGGGTAAAACAATACCTTTTAATCAATAAGTAAAGGGTAAAACAAAAGGATGCACATAGAGAACCTGTTAGATAAAATCAGTTTGGTCACAAAATAGAAAACGTACTTTTAGTTGTTTTTTGTTCTGCAGTTGACCCACATTTTATGGAGAACTTTCCAATGAATTAATAGAAGTCTACAGGCATAAACCCCAGCAAGGACTATGTTGTTGTTGTTATGTGCTGTGGAGTCGGTTCTGACTCATAGCGACCCTGCAGAGGGTTTCCAAGGCTGTATATCTTTATGAGAGCAGAAAGCCTCATCTTGCTCCCGAGGAACAGCTGGTAGTTTCGAACTGCTGACTCTGAAGTTAGCAGCCTGATTCATAACCACTATGCTACCAGAGTGCCTATGTTAGCTCTATCTAAAATGTGCTCTCCAGAGACTCCTGGAAAGTCAGCCCACACAATCCCAAGAGGTTTCCTAAAACGGCAGTAAGTACACTGCTACAGAAAAGACTTGTTTGAAATACATGATCTAGGCTGCAACGTACAACCAGTAAGTCCTGAACCAGTAAGTCCTGCTCAGGAAACAATCATCTCAGGTCCTCATCTCGTGAAGGGCAATGTATTCTATTAACTCATAGTGTTTTGTTTTAAATCTGCCTAGAAAAAGTTCTGGAGGAAAAGTAAATAAAGAGCTATGGTCAATTACTAGAAGTGACAGCTTCCTTCACAGCTCTCACAAGTGATGGGCATTGTCTTCTTTTCCATTTATGTTAGATCAATCAGGAAACTAACAAAAATAACCTCAGCAGCTGGCACACAGTAAAACAATAATCTTACTAGCAACACTAGCATTCCAGGTCACCCTGCAGGAATGGGATGGCAAACAAAACTAAACACTTTCAGAAAGACCAGCGACAAAAGCCTCCATGACAATTGTGAAAGCTTCCCATGGTATAGCAACAATGCCTCACAAAAGGCTGTGCTTTCTCAAAAATTCCTGCTTTTTAGGGAAAACCTACATATAAGTGTCTATTCTAAATTGACATTTTCAACGCTAGATTAACACTTTCCTAACCTGTGGTACATTGAAGCACTCACATTCATGTTTCTCCTGTGCAGTTTAATGGGCTGCTCTTTTCCTACTAACAATACATGCAGCTGTCAGAAGGGGACAGGTGTAACTGCTTGAATGGAAGCAATGGGTGCATGCCACAAATTATTTTTAC